GTGTACTCATATATATACTCAGCATACATATGATGTATGTGGTTGGATAATGGAAATTATAGAATTGCTTCCTTTAACTGTTTTATCATTTCAAATTTCTACCATGAGCCTGTTATTTTAATGGTGGAAAAAATAAAGGTCTTTTAAAGCTTTAAAAAGGAAGTGCAAGAAATAAGAATAAAGCAAGTCACAGATTACTAACACCACGATTCTATTTATATAAAGTTGCAAAGGTTAAAATACATAATAGTGGCAACATTTAATGTTTCCAACCTGTACTATGTGACACATTGTGTTTAATGCTTTCCATGAATTATTGTGTCTAATCCTCAAAACAACCCTGAGATTAGTTCTCTTATGCCAAATTTACAGATGAGATCATTGTGTCCAAGGTCTCTGGGCTAGTAATAAACAGTGGACAGGCTTCAGAACCCTTATTCTTAACTACATTCGTTTTGCCTCCCTTTTCTTATACATTAAAATCGTCTATCTCTCCTATGACACTGAAAGCTCTTTGACAACTGTTTTTTGTTCATTTTCATTCCCTTGCCATTTAGCAGGCATTAAGTAAATAAATATTGAACAAATATTTCATGTATATATACCATTTTCAGAACACAGTAATTTCAGGACATGAACTGATTTGTTCCCCTTGACAGCTTTGTGAAATTATAAAAGGGTTTTGTTTTGCTACCTTTTAAGCATATTTAAGTGTTCAATTCAATGAAATTAAATACATTCACAATGTTGTGCAACCATAACCACTAAGTATGAAAGGTTTTGTTTTGGGGTTTGTTTGTTTCGGGAGGTGTTATTTATCTAAACATTTTACTGACTACCTATTATGAACCAATAACTGTGTTGTGTGCTGAAAGAGTGAAAAGATTTAAAAGACATGATTCTTGCCTATGAGATGACTTTACAATACACTTTTCATTGACTAAGTATGAAAGGTTTTTTTTTTTTTTTTTAAAGATTTATTTATTTATTTATTATTTATACAAGCATTGGGTACAGTCAGAAGCGCGGGAGGGTGAGAGAATTCACCAGAGCCAGAGCGGGGAGCAGAACAGGCAGAAGGACCAAAGTACACTGCTGAGGGGAGCAGCAGGCGGCAGGAGAGGTCTGCGCGCCATGTGGGACCCTCCTTCGGTGGCCAGGGAGCAGCCGGGGATCGAACTGGCGCTGCAGAGGCTGCGGGCAGCTTCGCAACCCAGCGCTCAACCGCTGCGCCACCGGGGAGGCCCCTAAGTATGAAAGGTTTTTAATAACAGCTAACGAGTAGTGAAAAGGGGATTTCAACCCGGGACTCTCAACTCCTAAATTCACAATCATTCCACCAAGGTGTCTGTTTACCAATACCTGCAACTGCTCTCCCCTCACCAGGATAGCTAGAGACTCAAATGAGGTAAAGATACTAAAACACTTAACACACCGTTCTACTGCACAGGTGACCATCGTTGTAAGCCGGGAGGGTGGGGGTGGGGGGGAATCCACCAAGACATTTCTCCCAGGTGATTTACTTTTTATTTTGAGTTTTCAAAAGCTGGAGTTGGAATATAAATTATCCCATCTCTACATCAAGCCTGCAGATTCACAGAAGCAGTGCCTGGACCACAGAGTAAAGTAATGAGGAGAAATGCTTGCATTAGTTGAATTACACTCTTATCAAATTAGAGGTAACTGTTCAAACCTGATTTTTATTGTAATACATGAAGTTTCCTGATAGTGAAACACTTTCAATTCCAAGTATCAGTCTACCCATTTTGGAAATATAAAAATAGGGGGGGGGGAAAGAGTTCTAAATATTGAATATTTTTGTGTGCTCAATTGTAAAAGCCAAAGAAAATGGTTTGTTAACAAACTAAACTCTGAGGCTTATTAAATAAAAAAAGAATTATTTTGATTGAGTTGGTGCCAATTTGATATTTTTTATATTCCTCCCCATTTCTTGTCTGCGCTCTAAATCAACAGTCACCTCATGTTTAATAAATCATAGTTAATGCAATTAAGTTCAGAAAATTGGCTCCCTAAAGATATTTCCTCTGCTCACATCTCCTCTACCTTCCAGAGAATATCATTAAGGCTTAAATAAAATTTCTGATGAATAGATGGAGATACTGTTTCTGTAGTAGCAGCATTCACACCATCCCCTAAATTTTTTAATTCTATATGTCTTATTTATCCACATATGACAGAATTCTGACCACCTGCATTCCTTTAGAAGAAAATTTAATCTATAAAATACAGTCCAATTGTTTGAACCTCATCAAGTAATGTCAAAAGAGAATCAAATGAAAAACTCCATTGATACCAAACCATCTCACCAATGAATATTTATAACATTTCCATATTTCCTGTCTTCTCTCTGTTTACATAAAGCTGTGGTGCCAAGATTCATCTCAGGATTATTAGCCTGCAATACAATGATGGGCCTAATTGCCCTGCAAACCAGGACACCAATAAACGGAGTCTTCAAGCAATCAATTTTAAGAGGAGGAAAAAAAAAGATCTAAGCTCTTTCTGCATACATGCACGCTGCCTGCTAAGAAATAAATTCAGCCTCATCTTTTTCAGTCTCATTCATCAGTTCTAAAGCAAAGAATGCTTCCTTAACCACCTCAAACTCTCAAATCTATTAAATTCCAAATTCCAGGACTAATTTTTAAATGCACCTGGGGAAGGGCAGAAAGGAGACAGCAGAGACATCATACAGTAGGATTTTATAATGTCTGAATAATAGAAGACACCCCCCTCCTCTCCTTAATTATACCTTAACTTAAACCGCTTTCAACTTTCCCCTGTGGCTGATTTGCTTCCACATACAACACTAGTAGAAATGAAACAAAAAAATTAAACCAACAGCTTAATATGTACCCATTATGAAATTCTTTCATGTACCTTCTGTGTCCCCTGCAAAGTCCCCTCTGATTACTGACAATCAACCAAACCACAGTCTCCAAAGCTGTCCATTTAAGCCCAACCCCTAACCCTCTTGTGTCTCTTGGAAGCCATCCCAATTCTTTCTCTCCAGAATCATCTAAACCACCTCTTCCCAATACTGTTGACTGCCCTTCTCCATCTTCTCTGCCCCATCCATACCGATAACTCCAGCATCTGGCTCCTGAAATAGCCCCTTGCTTTCTTACCATCACCAACCACCTCTCCAGTTCTACCAGGTCACCTCAGACAGTCCTTCTTCAAAGCTCCCTCTGCCACCTTGACCAAGGGACATTTTCTTCAAGACACCATCCCCCAATCTTGCTCACCACCAGCACTCTGTCTCAAGCCTGCACCTAAAGAGCCACCGTGCCCTTCCAAGGTTCTAAGGTCACCCTAAATCCATCACACTATGCCCTCCCATTTCAATCTCTGTTCACCCATTTTGGGCCTAACTTCTAATTTAGCCCCCTCCCGTCAGCTTACCATCACACTCCCCTCAATGAAAGTCCCACCCCCACCAGGTCCTATTCCAACCTCCATAAGCACTTGCCAGGAAAACCCCAAACGCTACCTCCTATGCTCTCCAAGCCCAGCTATTCCTTAAGTCTCCACAAATTCCACCACCCCCAGAGAGCAACCGCCCACTTCAAGCTCAAGTCTCAACCCAAGCAAGACCCTCACCCCCAGCTCCTACCAATTCTATAAGCCTTACCTGGGTGCACCCCCCCCCCAATTCCACGCTCCCGAATTAACACCCTCCAGGGTCCTACCCAATCCTGCAATCCCAGTCTACTGAAATCATCCTCCTACCCCGCACCCCGGCTCAGATCCCAAGCTGTCAACTGCTCCAGGCCAACCCCAAAACCACCACCCTCACTCAGTCCCCTCCCCCATTAAAAGCCATTCCACTCAAATCTCATCATCCATCTCGCCCCAAACCACCCCATATCCCACCCTGACCCCTAAACCCCACGCTCCAGTCCCAGTTCGGTCACTCCCCATTAAAAGTCCCTTTCCTTCGTCGCCCCCCCCAACCTGCTTGGGTCCCACCCTCACCCCCACCCACATCTGGACGAGTCCGCCCTGCCAGCCCGCGGTTCCATCGTGACCCCAACCCCCTTCCTCCCTCCCGCCCTGGGGCTCCGCAGCCCCCAGTCTCGCTCCCCCCAGTATCACCGGCCCAGGAGCAGGGAGAGCCGGGGGAAGGGGGGGTCTCCTCACCGGCGAGCTGCTGCAGGCGAAAACGGCGGCGTCGGCAGCTCGGGCGGCGATGCCCTTGTCTTCTCGGAGGCTACAGAGGCGACGCGCTCGCTCCCTCGCCCGTGTCCAGGAAGGTGGCGGATGGCGCGCAGGGACCGGAGCCTCCTCCTCCTCCTCCTCGGCTACTCGGCTCCGAATTCTCTGCAGTAGCCGCCGAGGAGCCCGACGGGTGGGGGGAGGGGACGCTCGGCTGCGGGCGAGAGAGGAGGAGGCGGGAGGAGGGGGCGGGGGACCGCTGAGAAGGGCGGGGAAGGAGGAGCCGGCGCTGCGCCACGACACGTCCCACCGCCTCAGCGCGCCCAGACTACAACTCCCGGCATGCCCCGCCGAGGCCTGCGTCTCCCGCCGCGCGCCCGATGCGACGGGCCGCGCCCTGGCGGTCCACGGACAATGGAATACAGCCAACCGCACGCGGGCGGATTTTGTAGACTCAAAGGCCACTTGTAAGGGAAGTGAGGTTGCCCTGCGGCCCCATCCCCAAGTGGTGCTGTCGCAAGTGTCTCCAACCTCTTCACACGGGCGCGCGCGCGCGCATCCCTCCACACACACATACCTCCCTCGCCTCTGACGAACGCGGGACTACATTTCCCAGCATGCTCCACAACCTGCTGCCCCGCTTCCGGACCCGTCTCAGGCCCGGTACTACAGTTCCCAGGGAGTGTGGTCCCTGCAAGATGCTGGGAGATGCAGTTCTCACTTCTTCCTCCATGTTAAGAAAAAGAAGTGAAAGAGGAATAAGGAAAGGGATATGCCAAGCCTCCGAGGACAGGCCTACATGAGCTAGGTCACCTGTGAGTCTGTACGCTCTGCGTTATGCCCATTAGCACTATTTCACTCCAGGACCAGTATTGCGAAGAGTGTCCTTGTATATACGCGACGATCGCAACATGAAATGAAACGTAAAAAGGCATACCACACCTCTTGACCCACCTACATTACTTTTAAGTTTACCTTAGGAAGATAATAACCATTTGGAAAAGGTGAATGCACAAGGTTGTTATAGGAGGTTGTTGATTGCAGGGGGAAATGTAAATATCCATCAAAAGGGGTCTGGTTAAATAAATTATATATACAGTCGTTCCAGTACTAAGCAGCCATTTACAATAATGATATAGTTCTATTCACGTGAATCGCTAGCTAACATTTGTTCCCGGGGGGCAGTGAGGGATTGATTCTAGAATAACGTGTTTAGGATGGTACAATTTATGTGAAATTTGAGATAATATTCAGTAAGCATAGAGAGATTTCAGGAAATAGGTTCCGAAAATATTACTGATTATCTTGAAGAGAAGAATATCAGATTTCAAATAACTTTTATTCTTATTTTGCCTGAGTTGTTTAAAAGGAGAACATATTTCTTAGGCTATAAGACTATTTTCAAAAGTACATATATTCCAAATCCATCAGCCTCTCTTTGCTACCTAAAAGCATTCCATGGCTTCTTGTTGCCCTCAGTGGTGGTCCAGGACAAGGTCTGGTTTTTCTGTTAGCTCAACAATTCTGCTATTAAACTGTTGGTCACTTACAATTCCTAAAAAAAAATAGTAAATTGGGAGGATTTTCTCAGTTTTCTTTGCCTTTCTCTAAATGTTCCTTCTGATCTTTCCACATTCATTTCCTCCTTTTCTCCTACTTATTCTTGAAACTCAAATCAAAGTCCTACCTCCCCTAGATCATATTTTAGGTACACAGATTTTCCTTGTATCTGAATTCTTGAAGCAACGGTTTCTTATCTGTAAGCCAGCAATCTCTATAGGGAGAGAAAATGAGGAGGGTTAAAAGTTATTGCAAATTGTCTACAAAGCTCTACTTACACAAAACATTGTCTATAGGCTGAGTAAATAAGGTGTTTTTTTTAATTGAAGTGACTGCATTATAACATTATACAAGTTTCAGGTGTGCATTATCTTCATTGTTTACCACTATAAGTCCATTTCTATCTTTCACCAGACAACTGATCCCTATTACAGGATTTATATATCCCTCTTCCCTTCTGGTAATCACCAGTTGGTCTTGTAGTCTAAAAGTTTGGATAAAGAAGTCTAACACTTAAAAATTGTTTTTGTCCTTCCAAGTTCAGCTCTCCTGGGCACATATTTTGTGTCCAGCATTTGGAACATGGTATTAGATGATTTCTAATATAGCATTCATTCTATATTCAATTACAGTGTTTTAAATTTCATGTCATTATTTCCCATTATTCTTTTAAAAACAGACCATTCCAGCTCCCACTAGCCAGCCCACATTGCCTAGATGAAGGGTTAATTTGATCCACAGTCCTGCTTCAATCAATCCCTTCACCTTCACCCCAAATGTATTTACACGCTGAATCGTTAGAACTCACAGTGCTCAAATACATCAGGTACTGTCTTTTTCAAACTCCCTATTTTGATTTTCATCCTATTCTCCCAACTTTAAAACCCCAACCCCCCTCAATCACCCCCCCAAAAAAAGTGTGACTCCCTCTGCAATCTTTTCTAAGAACAATACCTATGAAAGAAACAGAAAAATGCCTGTGACATCTTGTCTGTGTGACAGACGAGCCCCTCTGCTCTCTAAGTGCTGCATTCATCATCCCCTCTTCTAAACCCTATATATTTCTCCTCCTCCTTTTCCCCACTTATCCTACTGGGGGAAAGTAGGGAGATAGGTGGTCAAATATTTCTATTTTTTTGTTAATTTGTTAGTCATTTACATATATAAATATATATCAATACATATAAAATCTTATATATAAAAACTTGCTACATTTTCATACCTCCACATGTTCACATGCTTCACTCACCCTCCTAGGTGGTCAAATTTAGGGATCTGGTCTGTCCGGCAGGCTAAGGCATTATCTGAGTTAGGTGTGTAGTATGAGGGGGCTTACTAGAGGAAGAATCTGGGAATCAGTTCCTAAATTAGACCTTACCATGTATATTTTGGGTAACCTTTAGTGTGTCCCTTACCTTTTATGAACCTCATTGTTTACATCTGTAAAATGGAAGGAATGATTCCTATCTTGTCACCCCTTAAGGTTATTAGGAGAATCCAAGAAAACAATGGGGTATGAAAATACTTTGAAGACTATAAAGTGCCATATATTCCAAATGCTTCATCTATTTTGAGAGTTCTCTCTTGGGATCCCTGCCAAGTTTTGGACTGTAAGTTTTTACTCAGAATTGTATCATTATTAGTGAATGTACTAAAGTATTTAAAGAAATTAACTATATTAAGTCAATAAATTTTCCAGATAGCACAGTCAAACTATTTCTAACTTTTCTAGATTTTTTTTCTATATTGAATTTTCATCAAGGTATAGCCTTCTCTATTAGTTTTACAAGACAGATTTGATTCATCAAATGGCTCTTTTATCTTTATTGATTTTTACTGATATTGCTTCAGTCATTATGAAATTTCTAGTTATTTCCACCAAGTCCACCTTTTCCTGGGAGCAATTGGAGCCATTGTCAGTTTTATTTTGTGTTGATTATTCCTACCAAGTAGAATTTTCCCATGGGTGAACTTTGCAATGTTCAATGCTACTTACAAAGATAGGATCATTCAATTTGCTTTTCCATCCATAGTAAAATTTTACCATGTGTAAGTTTTTTTTTCATGTGTAGTTTTAATCTTGTCAGTATTATCTTGTCTTGATTATTTGTACCACATCTAATTTTCTCCTGCAACTCAACCAAAAAAAAATCGGAGTCAAAATGACTATGTCAGAACGCTGTCTTTTGCCCCTTACTGCCTGATTAACTTGGACTATTATTTTGTCCCAGCTATGTTAATGAGCCTGCTTTGAGCTCTTTGTCCAAATCATCTTTTTAGGAGCCTTGGCATACAGTCATGGGCTGGAGTCTTTAAGAATTGCTTTAGAATTGCAGGGAGGGCCTCCACTGGTGGCGCAGCGGTTGAGCGCTGGGCTTCGAGGCTGCCCGCAGCCTCTGCAGCGCCGGTTTGTTCCCGGGCCACCGGCGAGGGTCCCACAAAATAAATAAATAAAATAAAATAAAATAAAAAATAGAATTGCAGGGAGATGGATATTAGAGACATGCCATGCCACTCTTCCAGCCTAAACTTCCTGCACGTGCCCATTTTATAGTAGAGGATGTTGAGATCCAGAGAGAGGAAGAGATTGGCAACATAGGACCAGAAACCAGGACCTGGCATAATTCTCTGTTAGTGCAATTTTTTTTAAAGATTTATTTATTTAGGTATACAAGAAATGGTGTACAGGCCAGAGTGTGTGTGTGTGTGTGTGTGTGTGTGTGTGTGTGTGTGTGTGTGAAAGGATTCACCAGAGACAGAGTGGGGAACAGAACAGGCAGACTGACTGAAATACACTGCTGAGGGGAGCAGCAGGCGAGACAGGAGAGGTCTGCTGTGCAATGTGGGTTGCTCCCTGGCCAAGGATCGAACCCGTGATGCAGTGGCTGCGGACAGCCTCATAGGTTGTGTCTTAACCCCTTGCGCCACCAGGAAGGCCCCTGTTAGTGCAATTTGAGTAAGTTCCAAAGTTATTTAATTTTTAAGCTTTGCAATCATCTTGTTAGAAAATAAAATTATAATTTTTTAGTTTAGCTAAGATATAAAGCGAGAAATACGTGAATATAAACAAAGCATTTCCTTTTTTATTTTATATATTTCTTGCATCATTTTCCATTTTTGCACAATGTATGCATTTTCATCTTGGTTATAGACCCCATACAATTCCTACCCTCCCCTTGCTTTGATCCTACTCCCTTCTCCTCCCACCCCTATAGTGTGTCTCTGGTTTATAGTTGCTTGTTGATTTTGATTTTTACTTTATTATAGTCTTTTTCCTGGTCCCTTATTTAGGGTTTCTAAATTCCTGCTATGAGTGAGACCATCCAGTATTTTTCTTTTTCTTTCTGGCTTATTTCGCTGAGCTTGATCCCTTCCAGCGCCATCCAAGTTGCTGCAAATGGCATGAGTTTATCTTTTTGATTGCTGAGTAATATTCCATTGTGTATATGTACCACATCTTGATCCAGTCATCTATTTTTGGGCATTTGGGTTGTTTCCATAGCTTAGCTATTGTAAATAGTGCTGCTATAAACATAGGGGTGCAGGTGCCCTTTTGAATTAATGTTTCTTTGTCCTTTGGGTAAATACCTAGGAGTGGAATTGCTGGATCATATGAAAGCTCCATCTTTAGCAGATTGAGGAATCTCCACACAGCTCTCCATAGTGGTTGGACCATTTTGCACTCCCACCAGCAGTGCAGGAGAATTCGTTTTTCTCCACATCCTCGCCAACATTTTAAGCAAAGCATTTTCAAAGACCTTTTTGCGATAGCAAGGAGTGTGAAATGTTTTATCAATGACCCAACACTGAAAAAAAAAAAATGACCCAACACTGGGCAAATGTTACTGCCATTTGTGATGAAGGCTGTTATATAAACATGGTATGCTGGCTGGACAGTAATAACTAAATAATAATAACTAAAAACAATAATAACTAAAAACTATTAATAATAACACACTATTAACATTAAATGGATGGGCATCAAATGCCCATCCTAACATTTAATTCTAATAGTTAATATTAAAGGAATAAGACTGCATCATGACTATCCTTAAGACCTAACTCAGGGCCAGGGCCTCCCTGGTGGCGCTGGGGGTTAAGATGCAACCTATGAAGCTTGATGCGGCCACTGCAGTATGAGTTCAATCCCCGGGCAGAGAGCTACCCACATGGTATAGTAAACTTCTCCTGACTCACCCGCTGCTCCCCTCAGCAGCGGGATTGACTGTCTTTCAATCTGCCTGTTCTGTTCCGCACTGACTCTGGTGAATCCTCTCACTCCCCACAACTCTGGCCTGGACCCCAGTTCTTGTATGTATTATTTGAAAGAAAAAAACCTGGGCCTCCCCTGGTGGCGCAGCAGTTGAGCGCCTGGCTGCAAAGCTGCCCACAGCCTCTGCAGCGCCAGTTTGATCCCCGACCAAAGGGGAGGGTCCCACATGGCACGACAGACCCCTCCTGCTGCGCCCACTGCTCCCCTTAGCAGTGTATTTTGTCACTCTGCCTGCTCTGTTCCCCGCTCTGGCTCTGGTGAATCCTCTCACCTTCCCATGCTCCTGACTGTACCCAGTGCTTGTATGTATAAATAAATAAATAAATAAATAAATAAATAAATCTTTAAAAAAAAAAACTTGGCCAACGCAATGAAAAGGGGAGGATAATAAATACATTTAAAAAAAAACTTAAAAGAAAAAACCTAATTCAGACATCAGGAAGCCTCTCCTGACCCCTAGTTAAGTAAGGAGCTGTAGTGTCAGGAAGGCACAGAGCAGGATCTCTATGATCCAGACAGACGGGTAAAGGAGAGTCCTAGAGCCCTCAGTGGCATTTCAGGCTTTTATTGAGTGCTTTTTATACCACATGTAGTGCAGCAACCAGTTACACGGCAGGCAGGGGGCACAGGGAGCCCAGAGGCTGGCAGGCCTCACAGCCCCCGGCAAATCTTCACTCTTTCTGGGCTCTCTAGCGTTGTCTCGTGGGTTCTTCTCTGCTTCTGCTTCTACTGCTGTTGCTATTGTTCTACCACTGCTGGTGTCCCCTGGATGCCGCCCTTATAAGCCCAGGTGTGCCCACCTATGCATGCCTACACCTTACTCCAGGTATCTGCCATCAGGCATCCATGTAGGACCGCAGGGATCTATCGTTAATGCTAATGGTGGGAGGGTAGAAAATCCTGATAATTTTCACTTACCCTACAGGAGCCTACACTAGGCCCCCACAGCCTGTTTACACTCTACGTGCATTATCTATTTACTGCCCTCAAGACCAAACACCAGTGATCTGGTTCATCTCTGAGGCCCAAGTCAATGCAGACCAGAGCTTCTCTGATGAATCAAACAATTAAGTATATAGACTATATATAACTCAATAAAGTTGAAGCTCTTTCCACTATTTTGGAACCTGTGGAAGCCTTCAGGGAACAGGACTTCTAAAACAGTGTAGGGTAAATGAAGTCAATTAGGCTTTTTACATAGGCCTCTGTGGCTATCACCTGCAGCCTTGATCTCATTAACTAAGAAGGCGTGTGGGGGTGGGGCACACGTATCTGATTATAGACACCTGAGCATGGGTGTGTGCGCACGTGTAGGTGTGCACACTTACGCCTAGGAGGGAGCGGCTAAAAGGACAGCTATGGGAGGATCACTACAAGAGGATGAATGACTTACAGAAAAGGCAAGACTAGGAGAGAATGCCAGAGACAGCCCAGAGAAAAAGTAAAGACTCGTGGAGGAGCTGGAAGACTTGGTGGCCTGCCTGTCTGCTGGGCCCCCTGCCTTGCCAGCCTACAGGCTTGCCACTACAAACAGCAAATGTGTCTGCCAGGTTGTGGTCCAAGGCTGTTTTGGTTAGCAGCAAGGTTTCCAGAACCAGAAGGAGCACAAAGCTCTTCTTAAAGTTAAAGGTGTTTGTGCTTAAGATGAAACAATTCTGTGTAGGCAAGAAATGTGCTTATTTGTACAAAGCAAAAAAAGAACACAGTGATTCTTGGTGGCAAACTGAACAAAAGATACATGAGGAAGGTAACTGGTGCCCATGATAACAGTGGTGTGGTTTGTGCCAAACTCCAAAGCAACCTTCCACTAAGGCCTTTGTACACAGAATCAGTATGATGCTGTACCTCTCAAAGAATTAAGCTTATTGAAAAGTAAGTAAGGGTCTCCCCTGGTGGCACAAGGGGTTAAGTCGCAGCACTATGAAGCTATCCACAGCCACTGCAACACAAGTTCGATCCCCGGCCAGGTAGCTAATCCACACGGCACAGCAGACCTCTCCTGTCTCGCCCACTGCTCCCCTCAGCAGTGTATTTTGTCAGTCTGCCTGTTCTGTTCCCTGCTCTGTCTCTGGTGAATCCTCTCACCCCCTGCACCTCTGGCCTGTACCCCAGTTCTTGCATAAATAATAAAATCTTTTTTAAAAAGTAAATAAAAGTGTGGATTTGTTCTTTTTTCAAAAAATGAAGCTTTTTTTAAACCAGAGTCAGAAAGTTTTTCATCTTTAATATTTAGATTGTGACCACCAGTTTTCTGATTTACTTTCTTCCATTTTATTGTTCAAATCTGTGTTTCTCTAAACTGCCTACTGGTGCATGAAATAATTTCAGGTGGAACAT